TGAACGCTTTCTGAAGAAGAGCGAGCAACCCGTTTTTTTTTCTGTGCCCTCCCTTAATTATGAAGGGAAAAACAAGAACATGTTTACAGTTACAACTTCGAGAGAGATTCCTGCTGCATTTCATTAGAATTACCATGAGCCAGAATTATGTATGCTGCAAGAAAATTCATTCATTAATTTCTCAGCACACGTACCTTCTCCCTCACCCTCTCTCACACATTGCTGTGCATGTTACAGGCCTGGATTCCTATGCCAATCTCTTTCTAGCCAGTTCTACAAAATCATAGAATCATAGAATGGTTAGGGTTGGAAAGGACCTTAAGATCATCAAGTTCCAACCCCCCTGCCATGGGCAGGGACACCTTGCTTTAAACCATAACACCCAAATCCTACCATTAATCTTAGCATCTTCCACATAGTGGCAGCTGCAAACAACAAATGTTGACTTGAGCTCAGTTTTTCTGAGTCTGAATAGAGACTAGTGGAAAACACTAATAATGGTACACATGCATCAGAGCTTTTAAAAAGTTATTATCGTCCTTTCTTATAATACAATACCTGTCATGTCTCACATTTAGCCAGCTGTATTTAGCCATGTCACCTGGACCCCTTTCAGCAGAAAAAGTTAGTTTACCAATCTGTAAATGTAGTAAAGCTGTGTAGAAGAGAATGAAGGGAAGTAGAAGTCTTAACATTTTTGTGAAGACAAAAATCTATCTCATGATTTGATTTTACAACATGTACACAATAAAAGTGGTTATAGTTGGTAAAGCATTCCCTGATAGTCATTTGTCATTCAATGTTTCTTCATATTTTTTGAAAGTCCTTTAATTCTGAAGCAATCTTTCCAAAGCTATAGAATGACAATTGGAGTTAAGCCTTTTCTCATGTATAGAGGTCAGGATTTAGAATGGTCAAGTAAATGACAGTTGGTTTTGATATGAAATCAATTTTTTTTTCCATTGACTTTTTTTTTGGTTGAAAAGAAATTATCTAGATCATACTTTCACTGCTAATTTTGTAGAATTTGGCAACTGCATTCAATTAGTAAGTTTAAAGAACTTTACTGTATAGTGACTTGAATTTCTTGTGTTATCCAACAGATGTTAACTACAAATTATGAGTTTAGTTATGTTGTAATTTTGGAATCACATTGAAACATTTTCAAACTGTATCCCTTTGTTTGCTTAAGTAATTGTGCACTTTACAGATTTTTCGTTACTCATTTATTGAAAAAAAAACAGATTTGACCAAAAGCACTATGTGTTGCTTTTTATGAATAGTTTGCAAAATAATTAGTTTTATAAAGGAATACATCTCTATGGGAATAATTTACTGCTTCACTAGTTTGAGGAAGACAGGACTAAATATTAAAGCAATTTTGAGCCTTAATTTTATAAAGGCTTATATTTTTAGATTTGCTGGGGATTTTAGAAATTTTGCAGTGAGATCACTATGGAACTATAAATTTTAATGCTTTCTTTAATTGAAGAAATAAGGTGCTATTCTTTTTAGTTTACTCATTTTAAAATTATTTAACATGAGAACACTGGTGAGCACTGACTGCTATTTAAGAATCAATGCTATTTAAGAAAAAGGTTGAAGGAGTAATTATAAATATGTCTGTTAAATACTAGCTCAATTTTTACTCTTCTCAGTTACCATGATTTAATTGTCCAATTATTATTTAAATTCAAATTAGTATTTACTCTTACTCAGTGTTTGAGTAAGGGCAGAGTTCATATTGTCTGATCGCAGTATCTAATCATTATGGCAGGAGTTATGGAACATGCAGGTGTAAAGATGCATTTGTGTTCTCTGGCTTATATGGCCTTTGCCCTTATATTTACTAATTCATTTGTGCTTGGTTCTTATGTGTTTTCAAAATTCTACACATCATTAAACTTAATCAAGTTTGTTAGTATCTGTCACCCTTGAGTTAAACAGAAGTCTCCTTGAAAAAATATACACTATCTCATCACTGCCCTTCATGGCTGAGAAATGACAAGCCAAACATTGACTCAAGAGCTGATTTACCTGAAGCAGTAATCAAAAAAGAGGAATTAATTTTTAATCATTTTAAAACACATAATTATTATGTTTTAATTATACACTAAATATACAGAAACTGAGAACAATCATATCTGAAATTCAGGTGATATTCTCAGAATTTTATCTCCAGCTTTCTCTGTGCTATAGAAGATGAGAATGAGAATGAGAATTTACTTGTATTAGTGAGCTAGCCAGGATGCCAAATACTTCTCTGATGTGAGCATCAGTGAAAACACTGCTTGTTTTTTTCTTGAGAGGCCATCTTTAGATACATTTTTAAAACAAACAAAAAAAATATCATTATTTATCAGTACTTCAGGGACTGTGAGAGGTTCCTGTTTCTGACCATAAGCTTTCAATTGCCTGTTCTTGTACTTCTAGCCATATCTTCATCAGTATCCCTGCTGGCCTATCATATTACTGCTATTCATCTAGTTTGCCAAAATTGGCATAGATTCCACTTTGGAGGAACATTTTGCATCCAGTAGCTTATTTGACTCTTTCATTGAGAACTGCTAGGCTTTGGGAAGGAAGAGGAGGAAAGGAATGGAACCGGGAGATTTTAGGTGTTACTACATGTGTTCATTTAAGTATGTGTGTATATTTTTACTCAACACAAAGAAAATTTGTAGCTGCCTCTAGTACCTTGTGCTAATACTGTCAAGAAGCACGCAGACTTTCTTTAAAGCTTTTTTATTATTTTCTCAATTTTTCTTTACAAAAAGAAAAATAGAGTCATATAGATTATAGCTTTCAGATTTTACCTAGAAAATACACAAAATCAGAAAAGGATGGTGCAATAACTTTTTTTTTCTCTGGCTTGGCATATACATTGTGTGGAAAATTATAGATCAGGTTTGTGACAGTTTCATTTTAAATTCTTTGGTCCCCTTGTCAGGTCTGAAACAATAGCTTTTTCTCCTGTGTATTTTCTGACTAACTGTTTTGAATTATTGTTTATGGTCTCTGAAGAAAACTGTTGTTGCACCACACCCTTCTAAGATGCAATTTCTGCAGTAATATAGTCCTTATTTTCTTGTCTTCTGCACACGTAGCCTGTCCCATCTCCCTTAGCATCTCATCATTGCATGTGTAGTCTGTCATGTTCTTGCATGTCTTATGAAGAAACAGAGAAAAGAGACTAAGCATGGGAGATAAAGAAAATGCTGCTCTAAAATGTTCCTCAATCTAGTTTATGGGGCAATGGTGTTGGATGGGAAGACCTGTGTTCAAGTCATTGTTTCCAGAGCCAGGGTTTGTATATTCATCTCAAATGTTTTTCATGAGTGCTTTAGTCTGCTACTCAGTCTAAGAGGCATCACTTCTTTTCCATCCCATGTTCCTTTGTGTGTAGTGAGTATGCTCTAGGCATTTGCAGCTGAGCAGTCTTTGTAGGAAATACAGGTTTGAAAATTCAAGGCTGAGATGGCACAGATGAGATGTGGCTGCACATCTTTAAGCCCTGTGAAAAGAGATTGTCAGCGTAAGTTTGATGTCACAGGCCTTGAAGTGTAGTTTCAGACATTCAATAGTTTTGCCCACCTTGATGCCACCTAAAGAAAAACCTAAGCTGAATCTGCTAATGCACACAACTCTGATGGCACTGATAATTATCAGTTTAGGGGTGTTTTTGAGGAGGCAGAAGGGTTTTGGCTCCCATTTTCTGCACTCACACTCTTTGTTCCTACAAACTTAAGAGTGTGACCTCTTTTTCACAAGAGCATATTGAATTCAGGAAAACCTTTTGTAAGAACATATTCCAAAGGAGATCTGTTTATAAATAAGATGCCATAGACTCACCCACAGAATAACACTTGCCCAGGAAATGTGGGACATTTCCACAGAGACAAGAATTGTCAGAAAATGTTAAATTTCACGTCTTTGTATTTTCTTTGAAAAGCAGTGTTATTTCTGTTTTGAGAATCCATAAATAGATTTGAACAGCTTTTCTTTGCAATGCTGTTAGTTTTTCATTCTTCAGGTTTTATAAAAAATAATGCATTCCCTCTGTGCACACATCTTACTTGCCTTGCTGTAAAGTGGCAGGGTGTAGTGGATTATTTTTTTACAAACTGTTGTTGATTTCTAGTTTCAGTTTCTTTTCTTCTTTTTCTGTCCAGACAGTGATACAGTTATCATGAGCAACACATGTAAGAACTAAAAGGGGAATTCCTGACTGGAAAATACGTGCTGAAACAGTTTATGGCAAGGAATGCCTGAACAACTGTGGTAGACAGGCTTAAGTCTGGGATTGTCCTAAGATTGTTTTAAAGTCCTCAGCCACTGCCTTTTCCAGTAATAAGACATTTTCTTTGGTGCAATGGTACTAGCATGAAACCAGCAATTAGACAAGATCCACAGTACCTGTGACAGAAATTCTTTGAGATGAGATATACAGTAATATTGATAGAGGACCCTAAATATTATATTGCGATATCTTAAAGTATTTAGTTTATGGGATATGGAAAATTTGGAAAATAGTGATAATATTATTTTTCATATGTTTATTTCAAGGGTTTCATAATCCTCTCCCAGCCTAGTAACACTCCACTAGATTACAAATTTAGTCCTAGTCATAAAACTTAATAAAATGGATGGCTTATCAGTTTTATTTAGGAAAGATTAGAAAAGTGAGGGGCTTTTAATAGAATTGGCTTTTCACTCTTATATGGAGTTTATTCCTATCACTATTATTATATCTTTACAGGTCGGATGATTCTTTTCTTTCTAGTGTCAAATGCTATCTTTATGCTGTAGTTATTATAATATTTATATTAGCATGTAAGTATGTTTGAAATGGAAGACCAGTATGCAGGTCCCTGTGTATAAAAATATAAATATTTATTAATAAGTGTAAATAATTACTGTTAGTGTAGTAATTTTTATAGAATATTTGTTCTGTAAATAAGAATAATATTAATATAGTATATATGCATTCCGTGGTCTGCCAGGTTTCTGAGTCATGCCACATGGTGGCCTAACTGTTAGATTGTAGATAAATTGTAATAAAATACCATAAAAGGCTCAATAGGCTTCTTTGCTTTTCCACAGGTACCCAGAGCCATTCACCGCCCACTTCCTGTCAGGCAGTGATCCTGAGTTTCGTGTACTGCCACAAGCAGGAGAACTTCTTCCTGCAGGCACTGCAGGAACCCATATAACAGTAGGATTCAAGCCAAGGATGTACAGCAAGAAGCATAAAGCAACGCTTGTGATCCAGGTAAGCCTTCCTGAATGCAATACACAAATATACCTTCAGATGTGGGAGGAAAAAACAAATCCTATACAAAAAAGCAGCACTGAAAAGCACAAATGTATGCACTGTACTTATTTTACTACTCCTCACAATGGACAGGAATTGAACTAAATTTTGAAAATTTAGCTTACTACAAGTTGGAAAAACATATATTTTAATTCCTATGTTACCCCATTGCCATCAGCCTCAGAGAGATATATTTATCTTGGTGTGTTTGCCCCCACTCCATAGGCAATATACCAAAAGAACTTTTCACAGAGAATCAAAATAATAATGTTAAGAACTGGCAGAAAATATGTGAATGATTGAACACATGAGGCCTAGGTTATTGATTATACCTGTATTATACCTCCTAGGATCAACGGCATTAGAAACTAGATACTAAACTGCAGAAGGCAGAATTTCAGAACACAAAGCTAGAAATAACTTTTTAAAACCAAGCCTCCAAATAATAAAAAAGAAGTGGTAGCCAAGTAGCTTCTGTAAACCTAAATAAACATCAGGAAAATTTTGGAGATATTTATTCCTTCAGTAGTAAAAATGTTCTTATAACTGCAGGAATTAGTTTTTAAGCTTTAAGTCAAGTCATTTTTTATGAGGAAATTGTTTGTCTAAAACATACTCTAGCAGCAAACATCCCAAACTCTACAAATCACGCTTTGCACTTTAAATCTCTTCACAGCATGCTGGCAATGTTTTCAGGCTATTATACTAGAAGTGAGACAGCAATATTGATTTAAAAACCAAGATGGTCAAAACAAAGTTGATAAAAAACTGCAGTGTTTTATCTCTCTGAGTGACAACCTGTACACAGTGAATAAGAAATTCAAATCCTGGAAAAAAAGAAGGCCTTTTAATCCCTCCTACTTTTCTTTTACCATATTAGATACTTGATTAATGCACTCTTTTTACATAATCATCAATGATGCTGATCACTCGTTTGAAAAAGGAAAGAATTGACTGCATTTATTCCATGTTCTTTTATATTTACATAATGCTATATGACATTTCTACAGAGCTCAGAAACTTCTAGTATAGTTCTGGAACTGAGCTGGTTTTAGGAATGACACATGTAAATTTACTAGCCATGTTTGTCTTAACTTTCTTCCCTAACAAATCGCTTTAACATAATAAATTTGTCTGGAATGGGATAAACATGATGGTCAAAGATTATTATTAGTTTTCTAAGTACTCAGTCAGTAATCCAAAATTTCCTTTTAGGAATTTATCAGTACAAATGGGCTTTGAGTAATTGGAATTTTAGCCTACATCGAGTCACACCTTGGTCTCTGGTTTTGATCTAGGCAGATGGCTCTTTACACCTACACCTTTGGTACTGTGTGTGGGTGTAGGAAGTCACTCGCACATATTACATATACATATCAGATCACATCTTGTCCTGTCTCTGTATTTGTGTATCTTCAAAACTACTTTGAAGCCTCTTAATGCTCATAAGTGAAAATTGGACCAATATTACACCATCACAGATTCTAATTGAAGTACTCTTTCAGTGACATTTTGATGAGGCTTGTGTTCTCTTTGCTCTTAGAGATAACCTCTTGTGTACAGCTGTACTTCCCCCTTTCCTCACCACACAGGCTTTCATTCCTGTAGTTCTAATGTAAGCCAGAGCATCGGTGACCATGTGTAATTCTGCTGCTGTGCTCTCAACGCTGACCTGAAATAAGACCCAATGACATGCTGAGAATACCAGATACTCATTTCTGCCTTTCCTGTTGAAATTAGTTTCATTAGTGACCTGAGGGAGGCAGACTTATCTAGATGGCAAAACCAGTATTAAATCACTGAAGAGCCTCTCTTGTATATATGCTTTCTAGCCAGTATACCGGCTGAGGCTTTGGGCTATTTTTAGAAAAAGTGGTGAAATTTCTTTTCTTTAACAGTGTTGACTCTCTGATGCTGCTGTTGTAAAACCCTATAGCACTCTTGATGTGAAATTTCATTTGCATTTCTGAGGGTAAAATCATTGTCCTAACAGAATATATTTTTATTATTAAATTCTTTGAATATAACAGAACTGTCATTTCTGTGTGCTTCCATGAACAGTGATAATTAGGATGTGAAGAAGCATAGATTACAGTGTAAATTTTTTTGTTTATGCTGGTCATTACAATTGTGTTGTCAGGTCAAATGGGAGGTAGAATTATGGAGAAAGATCCTACAGTCATCTTTTTCTCATTTGTTGTAAACATTAAACCCACATTTTGTACATGCAAATATTTTTGTTTGGTTGCTCTGCTGAAAACCCAATCCTGATGAGCTAATTAGTGTTAAGAAAATACAAATTGGCTTTACCAGAAATTAGTGTATACATTTTATTAACTGAAAGTATATATATAATTGAAATAATGTAGCCTAATTTATATTTTCTGCATACAAATCTGGTAGTTCGTGGCATATTTTGCATGTTCTTTAAGACTTTATTCTAATTCATGAATATTTAAAGTAAATTTTATCAATGGCAGAAAACATTAATTACTTCACTGAAGCAATTAAATGTTCTTTAATGATCATTAAAACTTCTGCTCTCCATCAACAACATATCCAAACAATTAAAATTGGACAATTATTTGAATAGCTGCCAGGAATCTTCATTTTGCAGAAGTGACATTGAAAATGTCTTCAAAAATTTCTGTGGATCCAAAAATGAAAAGCTGGTACTGAAAATAGTCATGCTTGTTTCCGTAGCTCTGAAAGAGAACATCATAACTTAGTTGAGCCATAAGTAAACTGTGGATGCCAGAGAGGGACTCTTTAGCAGGGACTATAGAGATAGGACAATAGGTAATGGGTTAAAACTTACTTAAGTAGGGGAGACTCAGTTTAGATATAAGGAAGAAGTTTTTTACTGTGAGAGTGGTGTACTCCTGTACAGGTTGCCCAGGGAAATTGTGAATGCTCCATCCCTGGCAGCACTCAAGGCCATGGCGGACAGAGCCTTGGGTGACATGGTTTAGTGTGAGATGTCCCTGCCCATGGCAGGGGGGTTGGAACTCGATGATCTTAAGGTCCTTTCCAACCCTAACTATTCTATAATTCTATGATTGTATGAAACAGTGACATGGTGCCTGGAGAACATTTTTAAATAAGTGTTATTCCAGAATAAATTTTCCTCATTGATAACAGCCTTCATAAACAGTGCAGTTCTAACTGGAAAAAAATAAATATGTATTTCCACTAATGACAAAATAGTGAAGAGAGCATGCTGGTTTGATAAGCTATGAACTGTTGTTAGGAAAAGAAGAACTTCCTCAGCTGCGCTGACATCTCAGAGCTAGGCTATGATGTGCTGGTAAAGCTGAAAAGAAAACCGACAGAGCTTAGGGATGGCAAGGTGCAGCTGCAGGAGGGGCTGATCATGCAGGGCTTTGCATGACCTGCAAAGCCTTCCTGGGTCAAGAATCACTGCCAATTACATGGCAGAGCAGCCAGGAGGCTGGTGAATCCTTTGAAAAAAGAAGTATTCAAGTTGGCCTGCGATTAATTTTCTTATACTGTGCTGAGTTTGAATGGAGACCCAAGCAATTGCTCTAATTTATGGGTGAGACTTCAGAGATATTCTAAACCAGCAGGCACATGAAATAAGTCTTAAATGATAAAATACACATCAGAGTGAACCAGACTGTAGGTAACATTATGAAGCTCTCCAGGAGTCAGGCTTGTGCACCTTTATTACTGAATAATCACTAACTTAGCCTATGGAAGACAGCATATCAAAACCATTTGTCATACAGTTCTGGAAATAAATGATGCAGTGTGCAGTCACAGTACCCAGATGTGACTTCTTCTAAGCTTGTCTATGCGGACTTGCATATCTTAACGAATGGTACTACTGCATATTCAGTAGCTTGGTGAAAACATGTTCTACATTGTTCCTGGCAGATTTTTCAATTAACATAGTTTAGTGTGTTTCTAAACGTATCTCTTAAACAGAATGAACAATGAAAAATGTTACCAAGTTAATAGGATAAATGAAATATTTTAATATTAAATAAGATATCACCTCTGTCCCTTGCCACTGGTTGATGTTGACCTGAGTTTTATCATTAAATTAGAGACACAGAAGGTTCATTACAGGCAGTGAATGAGTACATCCTGTAATCAGCAACACTGGATTTTGAGTGCAGAATCAATACTCAAAATTTTTGATTCACAAGTACAAGAAAAGGTTACTTTTCTTATTGAGACTATCATTATGCCAAAAGATGATAGCAATACGGGACCCATTGCTGTTTGAGGGCATTCAGACCATTTTCAGTCCTGACGGAATGGTTGATATTGATTGTATTACACCTAAGCAATGCTGTGAAACATCTAATATTTGAATAGCATAAATCAATTAAGCCACCTTTACCTCTATCTGAAAATGTTCCTGTAAGTGAATAAAATGATTGTTAGCCATCTTCTTGATCACCTTTCTCTCCTTTCCACCACTCCAAAAAAGTCTGAAACTTGATCCATCATCCATCTTTTGCTTTGCTAGAACTTGTCTAACCTGGAAATCCAAAGCAGTGGTTTCAAGGCACTTGCATGGATAGTGAACTTCGTAGACTTGCTCTTGCTGCAGTTCTCATATTGGTTAGAATAGTTGATGTAGTTCAGCAGTACAGCTTTATCCTGAGGAAAATAGTTATGGCTTCAGCAGCATTTGAAAACCTAATATTTTGGCCTGGAAATGAAATATTCTGGTAAAATAGACATTTATGGGTGTCTAAGGTTTTCTGAAAATTACTGAATTCTAGGTTGTCTTGAAAATTACTGAATTGTAGGTGCCTCTAGTGCTAAACAAAGTGCTAACCCAAGTCATGTTGACAGTTACAGTAAATCTTTTCCTTTCATATAACATTTTCTTCCCCCTTTAGCAGAAGTTGCTGAACTAAACCAAGAGTATTTATTTCAGTAAATTAGTGCACAAAACCACAATTTTTTCACAATGACTGTCTCAAACTGTCTTGGAAGATAGCACATAATTTACAATAGATGGACTATGATAATAAGGAGTCCATATTAATAATCCATAATCAAGATAATAAGTAATTCTAGCTTAATCCTACCTAACAGCTTTATGTGATAATGCCCACGACATTTTCTTCCTTTCCATCAGCAAAAAAAAACAACCTCTCCTGCCACAGAATGATGTCTGATGCAGTCTACAACAGCCACCCAGCAGGCAGCTTTTTTCACCAAGACAAGCCACAAACTTTTTTATTCACAGAACATGCAACCTAGGATATTTGTACAGAAAAGAGAAAGTTAGCAAAAGGTTATTACTACCCCGAAGGCTGTATCAATTGTTTGATGCTGATGATAAATGAAGTTGGGAGGTGGCAAAGCTGACCACTTTTGTTTAAATCCCACTTCAAACAATTACTAACACTCTAGACTGTAGAATTACAGTATGTGAATTTCATGAAGAGAAATCATTTTTTAGTAACTTGATACTCATTGAAGCTGTTGGTTGAAAAACCTGTTAGATCTTTTCTCTGACCTTGAAGTGGTCAATGAAAATTCACATACAGTGAACATGACCCCAAGGTCAAATTTTCTTTAAACTAAATTGTTCATCTCACATACCAAAGAAAGATAAAGCATTTCATCTTGCACTGAAGTTAATGAAACAATTAGTTAACTTTGAAGAATGATTTGCTTCTCTTAAATACTAACTTTATCTTTGGACATAAGGTACTGATGTTGGTCCATATCACACCTGCTTTTGATGGATTTTATCTTTACAGTCAGTGGTTACTAGATCATTTTGTAATATTAAATAAAATTGAGAATAAAGATGAGTTAATCTGCCTGTTTTTACACAGGAATAATATTCAATTTAGATTAGATTTTTATTTTAGCAGGATAGTAATGAAAGTTTAAAAAACTTATGCATGCACGGTGAAATATCTATTAAGATCTCATGCTTACTAATCTTATTTGAATAAGCCAATTCACTCAGCAGACTATGTAAAATCAGTACTGCCAATTTTAAAGTAGAGGTTTTAAAAAGTTTCTTTAAAAATACACAGCAAAAAAGTCACTTATGCTTTCAGCATTATCACAGAAAAAAATATATATTCAGTTACCAAAATACTTGTTAAAACTAGTTGTCTAACCAGTAGCACCACAGTTAGAGATCCATATGGTGATGACATTTAAGAGCTGTTAAGAGTATGAATCCTATAGTGAAATAGTATAAATTCCATAGAAGTACATGGCAGAGAACAAAGCCTGTGCCAAAGGATTCCTAGTTTAATGGTCTGAAACTTGTTCCTGTTGAATAGCTGAAATATGAGTGTGAAATTGTTTGCAATGATATCCCTTTAATATATAGCAATGACAGAGTAACAATTAAAACAATATGGAGGAGCATACAAAAGATAACATAGGTAAACATCATAAATTCAAACTTTTCCAGTGGCAAATATGAAACTGATGTTTAACAAAACATCAGAAAGCCACTTTAACATTTTATTCTCTTCATCATGTAGTTAAAATTATGGATTGACTGTAGAGAAAATTAGAGATGGAGAAGGTTTACTGCTCCTCATTATGGCTTTTGTAGTGCTTTACCTAGGCCATGATTAATTGACAGAATGCAACAAATAAATAGAAAAATATACACAGTATGCTTTGGAGGTGGTTTATAGCATTTATGTGATATGAAAAAATGTGATCATTTGTATGGATGTTGTTGCTCCTTTCTATAGGCCAAATCTGCTTGGTGTACTGACATATTCAGCAGCAAAGCAGCAGAGTGCTTGGATGAGAATGAGCAAATGGGCCAATAACCCAGCCATGTCAGAAGCTGGACTGTTAACTAAATGCTTGAGGAAAAAACTCATGAGCTTTGGTGCTGACTGTTGCACTCATTTCCAGATCGATCTGGGAGTAATTGCAGCTTTTCTGACCTTTTGTTTCCATGAATGAAAAAAGTGTTAGGTGTGATGGTTATATCTACAAATGATTGATTGTTCTTAAGGATTAAATTAGTTTTAAATGAGAGGTGAATTACATAAATCACAAATGTTGTAATGATGAAACTTTAGGCTGGAAACAGGATAGAAAGGTGATCCTACAAGTGATGTCTCTGTAGTTCAACACAGCATAATGCAAAAGCGTAGCACCACCAAACCTCCTGTAGATCCATAAGCAGCACAGCTGTGTGATTACAGTACTGTACTAGATGAATAAAGGCAGATTTTGAGAATTTGTAAATATAAATTGTTTAGCGTGACTTTGCTGCTTTGAGGCTGCAGAGTTGTAGTCTGATGTGTTCTGTGTGCTATGTATGTATGTACTATGGACATGCACTTGTTTTGTATTAAAAAAAATCACTATGAATATTTTTTAATATACGTACATCATGCCATATTTTTTACTCAGTCTTCCTACAAGTTTTGGCTTGGAAGCAAAAAAAAGGCTTTATAAACAGAAAAGGCAGACATAAAACCTGGGATTTCTAATTGCTGAGTGTGAAGGAATAGATAAGCATGCATTGCTGAAGTGGGCATACAATACTTTGTCTTGCATAGTACAAAGCTGGACATAATGACACATCATTTGAGGGTTTGTAATACTTGTGATTTTGGTTTTTTGTTTCGTTTTGTCTTTTAAAGAAAAGGAGAACAGAAAACTAAAAACCATGACATAAAGACAGGAAAATGCTAAAGACTTGGAGTAAAGACCTGCTTTCAAGTATTAAAGTGATACTTTTCGAGAAAAAAAAAAAAAAGACTGAAGGTTCTGTAATAGTTGCACATGGTTTTTAGCAACCAAAATTGTGCTTTGGAACACAAAAGAACATGGAAAATATACATCAGCATAGCCTTAATATTCATTGGAATAATACTCCTTAAGTATAGATAGAAGGGATATGTAGTAAGAATCATGTACTCAGAATCAAACACTCAAGCATTACAAGACATGACATAGAAACATATGCTCTATTTCTAGAGACAAATTATAAACAGAATGCAAATGAAGAGTGTCATTTTCAATTCTCATAAATATTCTTCAAACTAGAGATTTCAACATGAAGCTGTAATTCTCTTGTGCCTACTCAGCGTCTTTTTCTCTTAGTTTCGCTCATTATTTAAATGCAAAAAATTCCACCATTTGATAATACCGTTATTACCAATACCAGAGCTGCAATTAAATCCTACAGTATCAACCCAAGGCTTTTATATTGTATTATGGAATAATTATCTTTGAAAAACATGTGAGCTATGGGGTTTACTAAATAAAAAAGGAATTTTAGATCAGCCAGGAAGTTATATTTCTCATCTTTGTTGTGCCTAGTCCAGATTAAAGTTAAATCTGATTTCTGTTTTCTGTGTTCCAAGACTACAATTCTTATTCTGTGTTATTCCAATACCTTACGTGGAAAAGCATAAGTATCTTTTGAAATCAATGTAGCATGGTAAATCACTGTCAAATTTGCAAGGTATTTGATCAGTGATTTCTTTTCTTTTCCCCCTATATCTCTGTTCATTATTCCAGGCTCAATCAATGCAGTGGACATATGAAATCAATGGACTGCCTCCACAGAGTATACCACCAACAAGTCCAGCAAAAGTAATTTCTACTAGAAATTACATAAGATCAGCCACAGTACGACAACGCAATTTTTTACGTGAAAATCTGAAACTTACAACCACTGCAGCATCCTCACCAATTAAGGGCTCACCTTTGGTCCTGAGAAAAAAATAAAGAAAGTTATGACCTGTAATTTTTTTTGGTGGGGGAGGACACTTTTGTCAAATAAATTCTGCAGATAAAAACAGTGTGGTTTTTGTGGTATTTTTTGGTTTTGGGGTGGTTTTTTTTGTGTGTGTATATTTTATTGTTTTATTGGGGTTTTGTTATTTTTTTGACTTTTTTATGTCAGATATAATATGCATTGATGGTATACTTTATACGGAAGATTCAGAGTGCCTGAGCTCTAGTAATACTCTTATTTTTCTATGAGGAATTTTGGATGCATCTCTAATGGTTTATGTATAGCTTACAAATATCAGCAAGTTCCAATATGAAAAATCTTTGAGTTGAAAAAAAACCCAACCTTGAAAATTAGGAAATTCAAACTAATGCTTTGCGTTCAAAGGGATATTAGTTTAGAAAGACTTTCATAGGAAGATTTAATAAATATTCTGTGTGATGTTCAACATATTACACCCATGCAAACCAACCAAACAAAGCCAATCCCTGATGTTTTTCACAATAAAACCCTTGCCCAAAATTTGCAGTATTTTGCTAAGGTGAAACGTGTTTGCATGTCATATGTCTAGAGCTTGAGCGCCTTTCAGATTCTCTTAGTTTGTCAAATTTCATTAATTATGACATCTTTGCTTCTTTGCTTTGCCTAAAACAAGAATCCTGATTTATTAAGCCCATAACTCTTCAAAATCCTAGATAATTAAAAGTAATAGAGAGACAAATAAAATATCCTCCCTCAGTTTTTTTGTGTTGAGTCCAAGTTTAGAGAGTGTTTTAGAGTACCAAAATACAGAAGGCTATGAAACATCAGTGAGGAATGGAGCCAGATTTTAATTTGATTTCACTTTTTTTTTTTTTTTTTTAAATAAACAGACCAGAAGTGACTTTCACCTTGTGTTTCCATTTCCATTCTTCCCATTCAGAGGTGACTCTAGATGGGTATTCAGACTTTGCTCCTGATGTAATGTGGAAAATTAGATCTGTTCAGAGATGCTTTGTAAGATCACTGGATGGGAAACACCTACCTTCATTCTTCATTGAGATTGTTTTTCCTGAATTTACTAATAGAAAGTAAATTGTATTAGAGCCTTTATTTTGATGGCAGGATGTACTTTAAGAGAAAATGGCTTCAGACATATTAATTGCTTTCTTGGTACAAATACAGAATGAGCATCATTGCTCACGAGTGAGGAGCCTGTGAACAACCTATGTAGGTTAGTGTAAATGAGCACCAATAAAACTACTTTACTGCAATGTGCTCAAGGATTTTGTTTATACCACACGTTTTAGAGAAGCTATTACAGAAAATGTTTGGAACATATAAAACAGCAATGGCACCATTTAATATCTCCTTTTAAATGCAGTGTGCCTTGTTATGGTCAGAAACAGGTAATCTGAAGCAGGGCTAAGATCTGCCTTACAAATTCAGTACACCACACAGGAACGATATTCTCATTAGTGATATCCGGTATATACCTAAAAGGCATTAAGAAGCTATTGAAAAATTTATCTTAAAACAGACACAGTTAGATTTCATAGGAAAGCTCTATCTGCATATATAATAAAGCATTTCCCTGACTGAAAGGAATTAGAAGTTATGGATCAGACATATGGAATGGTTTCACCACTGATTACAGGTGCTCAGGAAACATTTCAGTGACAACTTTTCTCTGTAAAAAGCTTTGTTTTCCTTCTTTCACTTTCTTTTTAAGTTTTCCTTTCCTACTTAAGATGACACTTATTTGCAAGATAGTCAAAACTGTAATTCTACCAGAGATGGATTAGCAGGTGGCGTAAACGTGAATTACTTAACAATTAAATGGTGCTCACTTGAGAGATATTATTTCACAATTTGGTTGCCTGCACGTGCTGGTACATGTAGTAGATGTTCAAATTCAGTCATACATTTCAACATTAAGAAAATCCATAGACAAATATTAATGCAATAAAAAATATCAGAGGGTTGGCTATTTTTTCAAATGTACAGTTTAATTATACTAATTATCTTAAAAGAGGAAGGATAATTTATGCTTTCTAGACTAGATGTCAGGGTTTTGTCAATGTGGACAAGGTCATTCATGAGTTGGGCAAGATATGCCATCATCAGTTGAATTTTTTCCTACTATCAAAAATGTATTTTGGTTTTATTATATCTCAAAGCTTTTAATCAGAACTAAAATATATCTTCTGATATCAAGAACATACTTGCAAAGGTGATATACATAAACACAATTGTATCTGTGTGGTTGTAATCTGCAGAGGAGTTTAACTGTTGCAGATAGGTCTAAACAAATATGAAAAAAAAAAAAAAAAAGCAGTCCACATTTAGCTTAGAATTCATTCTGATTAACTATTTATTATCATAATTTTCTCACAAGGAAATGGGAAAGAATGAACACAGACTTGAGGTTATGGCTTTTGAAGAAGTGCTCGCAATGTTTTCTATGCCTTCATGCCATAGCAGAGCAGTCACTAGCTGAAACTGGAGGAGAAAAAAATTTAACATTGTTTTTTCCACATTAGAGCACCCTTCGAGATTCTTCTCCTCTGAAAAGTATGGAAAAAGGACAATCTCCCTTCACTTTAATCTGCACAGGTATAGTAGAATCTCAGGGAAATGGGGAGATATTGGTTATTACTGTAAATAATAGCTCTTCCTTTCTAATTGCTGATTTTTATTAGACATCTAAAATTACTTCTACTGACCCAATGTATGTAATTTGATATATATAAGTATTGAAATCACAAAATAAGTTTTTCAAAGTCAATATGACACTTAAAGCTAATGTCTTCATTGTAGTCTTACCTGACACACAAGTCAGCTGTGCATCTCCTTGCTCCTGGCTTGCTGGAAATACTACTGGCTAACCAGTGTAGTCACCACCTGCTTATTTATATTTCTTTCTTTATAATGATTCATCTTTGAGAGTATTGAGAGTTAAAGACTGCTTTAAGCACAGAAAGTAATCAATCATGTCCTGGGAAGGAGCCCAGTGGGGCATGGGGCCATATAAATTTCTATTGCTAGCTGCAAGGAGGGGTATTATTTTCAGACAGCTCTTTGGAACCAAAGCCACGTTAGAAGAGGACAGAATGCTGAACCAACAATGTTCCTACTTGAATAAAATAACATGGCATCAGGCAAATCAGGGCTTGCACTTTTTTCTCTTTGATCACAAACCCAAACTGTCAGGAGAAATGGAAACTTCTGACTCATCCTGCATATAGCAAACATCAGAAAAAAACCCAGTCCCAAATTAAAATTGCTCTGTATTAATAAATATTCCTAAGAGGAACGCTTAATATTTACAATAAGAAAGAAAATCCCTGGCTTTGACTTACTATTTATTTGCTTATGAGGTGTTTAATAATTTTATTTCTCCCTGCAGTGACTGCTCATTCTAAAATAAATGACTAAACAGTGCTTTACTGCTGACACAGATCACAGTTTGTTGCTAATGGAATGTTAACTGCTTTTTAAGTAACTTTGAATAAACCTACTGATCCATAAAAGATTCATCTAAAAAGGAATCCAATTCTGGCTTTTCTGCTTCCACTGATATGAAACATATTTTTCTGCAGTTTACTGCAGTTATTGTAATACTGATAGTGTAACATTTTCTATAGTAGGATATTTTACATTTTGAGAATATGGTGTGATGACATTGTGGTGACATGACATGGATGTCAAGGTCACTGCACAGAAGTCTGTCCAAAAGGCACTGCTTGGTGGCCAGAGAAATAAAAAGAAAGACATGGGGCAAGAAAAATCTTTCAGGTTCTTTTTTCTTTTTATTCCAGCATTTACGTATCCTCTGCCAAGCATCAGTTTCTCATGGTCAAAAAACCCCACCAAAAAGTAAAAAAGATCAGTCAGTGGAAAACCTGATAACTCACTGCTCATCCCCACCATACGAGTACACAACAAACGCCACCAGATCAGACTGGCGCAAATCTAAGTGACAACAGAAAACGAAAAGTATAGAGAAGGGTAAGACAAAAAGTAAAATCTTGCCACTTCTTAAATGAGTAGTGCTGGTGTTCATCACGTGAAATCCAATGTACTAATCCATACAGAAGTGAAAGGCTTTCCATTATCACAGGCTTGCAGGGTGTCTTTGCTGTAGCCTACAGGCCTGATACTGTGAATATAAGGTGTAAAGGGTAGCTGTGTCCTGACTCCACATCTCTTCAGTCCTGGTTAGTTTATGTAAGTGCAAAATGTACACTGCAATCAACGGAAACCTGCACTTGTCATTCTTAAAAGAACACAAAAGAAAGAAGTTCCTTCACCCACAAGCTTCTCTAAGGGAAGCATCTGGGAAGATGAGGTTTAATTTTGAAGAAATTAGTCTAAAAAAAAAAAAGATACCTGATGACCTGTTAATAAACAGACTTCAGGGTGGGGTGTGAAACCATATTCTTTGATGAGTACAGTGTGCATTTTTCTAGTACTGTTTAGGTTTATGCATCATAGAATCATAGAACAGTTTGGGTTGGAATGGACTTCCAAAGGTCACAGAGTCCAAACTCTTGCAATAAGCAGGAATATCTTCAACTGCATCAGGTTTCTCAGAGCCCTGTCCAGTTTGAACCCTTCCAGGGCTGGAACATCCCCCAGCTCTCTGGGCAACCTATTTAATGATCTTTATTGTAAAAAAATTCTTCCTTATACTTACTCTATATCTATTTCCCCTCTTAGTTTAAAACTATTTTCCCTTGTCTTTTCACTACAGGCCCTATTAAAAGTCTCCCTGCCTTTCTTATAAACTCCCTTTAAGTATTGAAAGGCTACAGTTATGTCTCCCTGGAGCCTTCTCTTCTCCAGGCTGAACAATCCCAACTCTCTCAGCCTTTCCTCATAGGAGAGGTGCTCCAGCCCTCTGATCATTTATTTGGCCTTCTTCTAGACCTGCTCCAATAGGTCCAGGTCTTTCTTGTGCCTCCAGAGCTGGATGCAGTATTCCATGTGAGGTCTCACCAGAGCAGAGTAGAAGAGCAGAATCATCTACCTGAACCTGCTGGACAGTCTTCTTTTGATGCACCCCAGGACACAATTGGCTTTCTG